CTATGCTATGCTTTTGCTGTGCCTTCGTTTTTGCCTTCACTTTTGCCTGTGCTTTTGCTTTTGCTTGGCACCCAGGGAGCGCAACTGGGGGAACCGCGCGTTTGCTTTTACCTTTGCTGTTGCTTTCGCTTGACTCCCAGGGGACCGGGGGAACCGCCCAGGGCGATTCACACTGCCCGGCCCTTTACGCCAAGCGAATAAGAACCTTTCTAGGCAGAGCCTGGGTAGGGAAAAAACATTGAAAATCAATGAGTTGGGCCTCCTGGGCCTCTGTCTCAGAGGCCGTGACGACGGCTCAAGATGGCCTCAATACAAAGCAAAACGGCCCAATGACGGCTCAAGATGGCCCCAAGTGGACCCAAGAAGCGCTCAAGACGGCCCAAGACGGCCTCAAGAGGACCCCCAAGAGCGCCCCCGGAGGCCAAAACCATCGATACTCCATGAGGGTTTTGAAAGAATTTAGCGTTCTCGCCCTTTTCGCCTCTCAGAAACCCATGACGGCCCAAGCAGCCTCCAAAATGGCCCCAAGACGGCATAAGAAGCCCTCGAAAAGGCCTCCACGACGGCCCAAGCGGGCCCTCAGACGGCCCAACTCAACTGGACCCCAACAAAGCCTCAAAACAGCCGCGAGGGACCCCCAGGACGGCCTCCGAATGGGCCACACGCCACAAGAGCGCCCCAAAACGCTCCCAAGAGGCCCCAGGAAGCCCCCACCCACGACACCTCCAAGATGCCACAAAGAAGCTCCCAAGAGGCCCCGCAACAACTGGACTGTACGTGGTCCGGACGTGCACCCCCGCGAAGCGAGAGGAATCCACGTCCGGAGGTGACGTGCTGAGCGGCAGCGTTTTTCGGCGAACGCCTTAATGCAACGTATCCAATGAATCCAAAGGTTCCATAATTGCAACAGCTTGTATTGTGTTACATTATTATGTATCCCCCTAAACCCCCCCTTGGGAGCCGCGCCGCAGCGCCGTACCAAAATGGTCGCCCCCTTCTGGGGCCTTGAAATCATTCAAAACCGACCGGGAAATCAACAAATTCGACTTCTTGGGCCTCTTGGGGCTCCACGAGGGCCTCAACATGGCCCAAGATGGCCCCACGGCGGCCCAAGACGGCCCCAAGACGGCCCAAGATATTCCCAACGGGGGCGCATGAGGCCCCCAAAACGGCCCCAAGAAGGCCCCCGAAGCCCCAAGGACGGCCCAATAGGGCCCTAAGAGCGCCCACAACTGCGCCTCCAGAGGCCGAAATCATTGATTGTCCTGTGGTTCTTGCCATGTTTTAGCGTCTCGCCTTTTTCGACTCTCAAAAATCCATGACGGCCCGAGCAGCTGCCAGAATCGCCCCAGAACGGCCCAAAAAGCCCCCAAGAGGGCCCCACGACGGCCCAAGAGGGCCCCAAAACGGCCCAAAGAGGCCCCCAAGACGGTCCAAGAGGCCGCGAAGACGGCCCACGAGGACCCCAAGAGGGCTCCAATGCGGCCGCGAGAGGCCCCCAAGACAGCCTCCGAGGGGGCGATACGGCGCAAAAGCGCCCCAAGACGGTCCAAGACGCCCCGAAGAGGCCCCAGGAGGCCCCCAAGAAGCCTCCAAGAAGCCCCCCAGAAGCCTCCAAAAAAAAAACCCACCCACCCCCAAAGGCCACACAGCAACTGGAGTGTAATGTTATTTTCCCCCCTCTGGGCGAACTGCGGCGCAGCGCCAGCCAGGTGGAAGTTTGTCTCTGCGGCGCCCATGATTAGAGCCGGCGCTGGAAGGGAAGATGGGGAGGGTGTATGAAGAGGGGGGGGGGGGGGGGAAAGGCCCCAAATAAGTCCCCAAGAGGCCAAAAGAAACTCCCAGGAAGCCTCCAGGAGCCCCCAAGAGGCTCCCAAGAGGCCCCGCGACGACGTGACTGTACGTGCTCCGGACGTGCACCCCGCGAAGCGAGAGGAATCATAAAAGAACACGACGTCGGATGAGCTACATGCAAAAGAGAAGGAGGAAAGGGGAGAGGAGGAACGCCACTGCCAACAGAAGCATGCGGACAACAACACGAACGAGAAGAGACGAAACTCGACCAGGGGCAACGGAATTCCGCACCCTTGGTGAGGCTTTCTCGCACGGGCGAACGAACACTGCAGGCTGGTAAACGCAAAAGGAACAGACGAATGCAGCGGCGGTCCTGAGAGGCGGCGCAGCGGGCAAAACATCTCCCCAGCCCACCCCGAACATCCTCAAAGCAAACTGTGCCAGTGCGAAACACGCTGCGAAGGACCACTGGGGCCCCGCAGCCTACGATGAAGACTGGAACCCCTCAGCCTGCGATGGGCTACTGGCTGAAAAGGGGGGGGAGAGGAGGAGGAGGAGGAGGAGGAGGAGGAGGAGGAGGAGGAGGAGGGAGGAAGAAGAGGAGGAGGAGGAAAAGGGAGGAGGAGGAAGAAGAGGAGGAGGAGGCAAGAGGAGGAGGAGGAGGAGGAGGAGGAGGAGGAGGAGGAGGAGGAGGAACCACGGAGTCATGGAGTCATGGGAAAATGGATCCAAGAACTGCGCGGTGCACACCGCACGCAAGCGGGCCGCAATGGCAGGCAACAGGCACCCGCGGCCTCCGGTTACGAGCAAAAGCGGGCCCGAAGGCGCGCGCACGACGAACGGGGACAGGCAGCTACCTCGTCGCCCAGCGACTTGCCTCCAGCCGAGAGGGCGTGGTGCGCAGGGGGACTGCCGGTTCACCTCGTAAGTGCGGGGCACTTCCCGACGATCAACCCCTGCCCAATCAGCTAACATGCGCAACAAGGTTTGTTCCCCAGGGTGGGCGGGCACAAGGCCACCATGGGACTTCGGGCCACACAGCCCTGCCTCTCAAGCAAATGCGCAATCCCCCGTGCCGGGTACCCATCCCCAGGTCACGGAGCGTGGCTAGCGCCGCTGCCACGGGCAAAGTGCCACGTGGCTGGTTCCGAAGGGCCCGAGCCGGTTGAGTACATCGTAATCGCCGAATGCAGCCGACTCTGACGGTGTGCCCCGACGAGTGTGTGGCGCTGACACCATGAGAATATGTGCCAGGCCCCCACCTGGAGGAGGAGCAGGAGAAGGAGAAGGAAACGGGAGGATGCGCCAAATTCCCGACGACTGAGAACCCTGAGACGGCACAGCGGATCATCGAGCAGGGAGGGCCCCCAGGGGGGCGCAGCGGCCCGGCGTGTGCTTGTCCGCACACGCGTGGCTACTCGGCGGTCGGGCCGCCCGAACCTCGGCCATGTTGCAAATTCAGGGGGGCGGCAAGCGACCACAACCACATCGAGGACACACTCCTGAGGATGTCCTGTGCATGCCAACAGCTGTCACAACGCCGACGCCTGCTTAGTGCGAGTCGTGGTCGATGTGGCGTCCCAGGACGGCCACATCGACCACAACCACAACCAACATTTTGACGTCGAAGTCGGTGGGTTCTTCCCTGAGGGCCCCTTTAGAAAAATCAATTCAGCTGTGGTTGTGGTTATTTGTTGTGCCCGCATATTCAGAAAGGCTGTGTTAACCAGCCTGGAGCGTATCCTTATCCGTGAGGTTGCCCAGCCCAAGGCGAGGAAAGCCTCAGGGATGGGCCATCAGAACCTGAGAAGGTCCTTAACATTGGCGCAGAGATAAGGCGATGCCAAACATGGGGATGGGGATCTGCTTCAGGCTGGTGACTCTTGGCGGCGCGCACAGGGGAAGGGTGGGGCGCGAAGGGGGCGGCCTTCTGAGAAAGCGGGGGGGGGCTCCGAATAATTGAACCCGGGGACTTCTTAGAGGCCCTCTCGGCTTCTGAGACGCATTCTGGAGGAGGAGGGAGGAGGGAGGAGGAGGGGGAGG